AGAAACCCTTCCCACACTCTTGCAATGTTCTAAACTCTTAAACCTACATAATTTAACAATATAGGTATATGCACTGCACAGTAGCTACGCACTGCAAACAAAGCACACAATGGCGATTGAGTTCAAATCCGAATGGAAAAAAGTCCCGTTGAGTGCCAGAGAAAGCACCGGACCTCCAAGCGACACCTCCCCGCCAGAGAGGCTCCCTGATTTGGCAAGCAGCACTCAGATTCACCGATGATGCTAGAAGTCTGGTTTTGGTGCAGTTCCCGGTCTGTTCCGTACGGCTTTCTGCTTCCACTGAGCGCTGAAATCACTATGAATAAGGACCAAACTTTTTCGGATCTGTTCAAAACTTCCTCTCCATTTCGGCAGAAAGCAACGGCTGGAAGCACTGTTGGCTTCTGGGAAATGTAGTCCTTTTGAGTGGCGATACAGTGTAGGCTTACTGAGAGAAAACTATAAAATGGCAACACCCTATCTGAAGTATTTTTGTTTAACTTTTTACTGTATCCACTACCTTCCCAATCACGTGAGTAATATTAAAGTTGACAATCGTGTGTCGTGTACAAATTTTTTTCTTGTACAATCTTGCGTAGAAAACCCCCCCGAAATGGCAAGTCCGCGAAAGTCAAACCGCGAAGTAGTGAGGGACTACTGTATTACTAAAGAAAATGGCACCCATTGTTGGAAAGTTCTTGGATTTGTTGAGGGAAGAATGAACAAGTTTTAGCTCTAAGCCATCGTTTCCTGTCCTGTGAGCTCTCTGTTACCCTCCACAAAAAGGAAACTCCAATGCAAAGACTGAAAACTTGTGTGTTAGAGGAGAGGATGATGAAGACTGAGAAGCTAGAGCAGTTTATTTTTTTATGTTGACTGTCTTTGTTGGTTGATTCTGTGCTCCCTATTAAACATTTTGTAAACTGTCTTTCTTAATTTTATACTTTTGCTCCGCTTGTTCTCCCATTTTCTGTCCAGTTTTCCACCCATCACATTTTCCCATTGGCCACGCTGTGGGTGGAGCCGATGCCTGAGGACGACACTGGACTGTAAGTTTAACGCTGATAATGTATATGTTTTTGGTACCACTTTACAATAAGGCTCCCCTTATATGTCTAATAAATAGTTTATAGATACGTTAATTCTTCTATAAACACTTTATAAATCATTAATTACTGTTTATTAAGCATTAATTAAGGGTGACAGAGAGACAAAAATGAGCACTGTCTTGCCAAATAGTGAACCAAATCTGTTCACCTATATTTCATCTAGAGTTGTTATATTAAACATTTCAGACTAAGTACTACCTTTTAAGAACAATATGCATTTGTAAACCTATTCATTTAGGATGTAATATTAGTTGTAGATACTTATAATGCAGTGATAAAGTACATAGTATGCTAAAAAAAAAATTTTTGGCATTTATGGTTTTTGCCACTTTATTAGACATTAACTTTGGCAGCACAACAGATCAGTGGTTAGCATTGTTGCCTCACAGCAAGAAGGTTCTGGGTTCAATCCCCAGTTGGACCTGGGGTCTTTCTGTGTGGAGTTTGCATGTTCTTCTTGTGCATGCGTGGGTTTTCTCCTGGCACTCCGGTTTCCTCCCACAGACCAAAACCGTGCATGTTAGGCCCAGGCCTCCCTTACAAAAGAGATCTGTGACCTCAGTGGGATTTGCCTGGTTAAATAAAGGTTAATAAAATAATTAGCCATCTATAAGGGGAGCCCTATTGTAAAGTGGAACTTTTTTTTAAATATAATTTGTTTTCCTCCTGATAATTAAACAGAAGACTGAAAAGTTGCACCTGAGATTTATTTGGACACTGATAATTTGGTTCTCTGTGGTTCATACAGTGTTGTAGTCTGGATGTCAGACTACTTTACTTTCCGCTGTACACATCGCACCACTCCATAACTCTCATTAGTCCAAATATGTCTAATAAAGTGGAAAAATCCATAGATATACGTATCTATGCCGTATACGTCGCATCTATTATGCGTCACCCGGAAATGTGGGCCGGTGTTGTGCCAAAAATTGATTGGCTGCCAAATGGCGGCAGCGGGAGCGTGCACGGGAGGACTTCAACAAGAATTTAACAAGATTAACACTTAAAAACAATTATTTGTTTGCTCGACATTATAGTAAAGATGTGTATCAGTCGAACCTTTCCTTAATAAATGCACTTTAATGGTCAAATCAGCTGCATTTTGCCTGGACGGCGCGGTGAAATGCAGCTGATTTGACGATTGCTCTGGGAGTTCCAGAGCGAGACGAAGGTGGCTTAGTATGGCAAGCTAAGGTCTCATTAATAGCCACTTTTACCTATTAATAAAACACTTGGCTTGCCATATTAGTTGAGCGCTCTCTAGTGGCTGAAAATTGTAGTGTTCAATATTTCCCATGTCAGAATGAATGAAATCGTCAGATCTCAAACAAAAACTGGTTTATAAATATGGGGAAAACGTGTATCATTCACTTAGGTGCATAAGTTGCAGGGCATGCAAAATTATGCAAAAAGGTGCGACTTATATGGCGAAAAGTATGGTACATTTAGAGTAGACATTAATAAAGAGGTAAATATTAAATTCAACCAAACTGCAAAAGTTCATTTCTAACATAATAAAAAAGTGGTGTATGGTTAATACAACTTAAACTTTCACTTTGAATTAATGTAAATTTTGCTTTTGCTTGATATTAACTTTTAAAATGTATGATTTAAACCAAGTTATACATTTTAATTTGAGATAAACTGATACATGTAGGTGTGACAAATTACATATTTTTTAAGTTGAACCGAAGTGGGGTGTTTTTTCAGTGTGCTTAACTTGGTGTAAAAACCATCTACATTTCTGATTAACAGTCCCTTGCCCACTTTTTATTAAAATAACTTTGACAAAATGGGGAAAAAAATGGGGAAAAACTATTGTGTTGTGAAATTTGATGGCAGTATGGCAAAGATGCAATGTACAAATGAAACCGCTAAATTCCAACTTACTTGTTTTTGTGTGTTTGTGAGCAGACAGGGGTTAAAGGTCATCACACCCGAGGAGACGTTCACGCTGCTCGCCTCGTCCCCCACAGAGAAGGTGTTTATTTATTTATTTTTAAACGCACGTCTTGCAAAAGCTGCGTTTCCTGTCCTTTGTGCTCACTCTCTCGTTTTAAGTCCAAGTGGCTTCGTGCCATTAACCAGGCCGTGGCTCACGCTCTGAGTGGGGCAGGGAGGAACGCAGGTGGTTCAGGACCCAGGTCCGAACCGCCCATCTGCAGGACGGCGTCCTACACTTTTTATAAAGACGGGCGCTTCAAAGAGGCGACGTACGAAGGTCACTGGCTCACTGGGAAGCCCCATGGCAGGTTGGACACTATTTTTTATTTATTTATTTATTTATTTTTAACTGGAGGAGTTTTTAACTTTAGGACTGCTGACTCAGCATTCTAAATGCTGAGTCAGCAGTCACACTATTGTTTTCCTGTTTATTTATTTTTTTGTTTTCCAGTCTTTTTTGTCGTCCAAGTACCTTTGTATACTTTGTGCTATTTTAGCCGTTCATGAAACAACACGTTCAGCTCATACGGTGGGTCTGTGCTATGAATTTTTTTTTTATAACATATATATATATATATATATATATATATATATATATATATATATTACTATGTTTACAAATAATTCCCCATTGAAATACATTAAGATGGCTTAAATTTTGTCAAAAATATTGTTCATTTTTAAATCTGCTTCAGCAAACTGGCTATATTTTTGTTGTTTTATTCTACTTTTACCTATGATTTATTTATACCTATTATTTGTACCTTTATTTAACCAGGCAAATCCTATTGAGATCACAGATATCTTTTGCAAGGGAGGCCTGGACCTGACGGCAGCCTAACATGCATGTTTTTAGACTTATTTACCCCTTGGCTACTTTTACCCTAAAGCTAGTGTTCTGCTTTTTGTAGCTGTAACCATTCACTTCTAGCTTTTTCATCAAATTTCAGCAAAGTCATTCACTTTCACTACTGAACTTTCACACTGGATTTCAGCCGAAAATACAATTTCTCTAGTTTTGTTGTTTTGATTCATTAGTTTATTGTTTACCTTTTTAATTTTAGTGGAGAGTTAAAATGGCCTGATGGCAGAATTTACACTGGATCATTCAAGAACGGACTGGAAGACGGGTACGTTTCAGCCAGTGAGATCACCTCTCAGTCTGTCTGAATATAAGCTCAGTTTGCATCGTCTGTGAGAGATTTCTGATCCCGTTTCTTCATCTTTTTCTGTTTATTTCTACAGCTTTGGGGAGCTTGTGGCTCCTAATAAGACACTAAACAAGAATGATCTCTATCAGGGATATTGGAAAGAGGGCAAGATGCACGGCCTGGGGTCATACAGGTGAGTTCAAAGACAGAGGGGGAAAAAAGTTTTAAGTGAGGATTTTTGTCATTCCACAGTTTGAGGACAGCAACTAAAAAACGCCCTGTCACCTCTCTGCCTCTTTGGTTTTGGGACGACCAGCAACAACTGATCTTCTGACCTAGAGAGCATGAAGGAACGTACAGGTGGAGCAAGTTGGACAGATATGCTGGAGCAACACCATGATTGTATCTAAAAACCAATAAAATACCATGATTGTATCTAAAAACCAATAAAATAACTTTTAAAATTGCTCGGGAAAACAACCTTGAAGCCGATGTAGTGATGCTAGATACAGGAGTGATGTTTTCCAGTACCAGTGTTTCCCCTACCATTATCCAAGGAGGGCGCCCCACCCTGTCAACAGGACTGAGCGCCCTGCCTTCCGAATGTCCTTCAATGCCCGCATCACCTCTGTGCGATAACCGTCAGCACTGACGTAGCGCTAAGCTAGCGGCGCACAATACATACGCGCTAGCAAAAGCAAAAATGCTACTGACGTAGCGCTCCGCTTCTCTCACACATACCCCCCATCGACAGAAGAAGAAAAAAATAGATGAGCGGCCTGCCAAGGGAACTGATCTAGGTGATGAATGGCTTGGCTCATCACAAAATGCTAAAGGGCCCAGATGAGTATGAATTTTAGAAGCATCACTGGGCCCAAACAACAAAACTTGTTTTGTTTTTTGCTCTTGTTTAAATGTAAAAAGTTTGACGTCCACACCTTGCTTTCTTCAACACAATCTAACAGTCAGTTCATAGAAATGTGATTTTCTTGATTTAATGGCATATATATTTGGGTGTCATAATCATAAAAATGAAATGTGACTCCATGTTTCCAGAGAGAAGATTAAAAAGAAAATACAAAGAAAAGAGAAGTGGGCTAAGTATTCAGCTCTGAGGCACTCCGCAACTAGCAGGACCCATGTACCAATAATCTCATTTAAATCAGGCAGAGTGACCAGTTTAAACTGTCAGACGGAGGGATCGTAGGAAGGGGCTAAAAAGGGCCCTAATGCTCACAACCTTGAGGAAAAATAGAATTTTCAAAAGTTGTCGCTCTTTAGCCGAGTTCTCAATGTTGGTGGAGTGCAGGGCAATAAAAGCAAAGTTTATGGTTTGAAGAAAAAACAAGAATTGTGATGATTAGTCAATTGGATCAGAAAAATGTTTAGTCTTTGCAGTTTCCACAGTTTTCTGATTTAAAAATGCCAAAAATTCTTCAATGTGTGAAAAGCCATTAGACAAATGTGTTCACTTGTTTGAAACTCTTGATAATTTTATCCACCTCTTTAGAGTTAGAACTCAAAACTGAAACAAGGTTCTTACAGTCTGGTGCTTTGGAACAATTTGGTTTCACGTTAACTTTCCACCAGTGAAAGTTGTGAAAAGTTTTTGTAAGAGACTCGGCTTGTGTTGGACTTCAGGTATGCCAGTGGTGAGGTCTACGACGGTTCCTTCCAGGACGGCGTGCGACACGGCCACGGCATGCTGCGCAGCGGGAAGCACAACACGTCCTCCCCCAGCGTCTTCATCGGCCAGTGGCTGCAGGACAAGAAAACAGGATATGGAGTCTTTGATGACATCACAAAGTACGCTCACTTCTAAGGATGCACAATATTGGATTTTTGGCCAATATGCGATATGGTGATATGTTAAAACCTATTTGATCAGATCAGGTAGACGCACGTGACATCACCATGTTGTGCTGGTGCTGCAGGCGTCCTTGTCACTGGGTTGTCAAACAAAAACAGTGTCTTTTTATATCTGTGAGTTATTTGATGGAATGGCCGATGTCCGCTATTTAACTTTAACTCTGATATCGGCCGATACCATGCCGATAATATCGTGCATCCCTACCCACTTCTATAAAAATACTCACTATATTATGACGACTCGACATTCACATTGTAGTGATCTTGTTTTCATTATTCACGTTCCATTCATACAGTTTTTGCAGTTGTACTACTTCTGCAAACTTTGTACCGTTTTAAACATTCATGGATCAAAACATTCAAATATATGGATACGATGATTTTTGGTTTTTGTAACTTTTGTAGTTTTCAAAGTACTTTTAAAAAAAATCTTTAAATCCTTAAAAACTGCTCTAATTTCTCCTTTTGTGTCCTTTTTAATACATCTACCGGTATCTCTTTTCTCTCTCTATGCTTAGTTTTCTCCTTATGCCTTTTTGTCCTTTTTACGTTATCTCTGTCTTCTTTTGGTCTTTTTTTGTCTCCTTGTGTGTACTATTTATATTTTTATGTCTTCTCCGTTGTCTTCTTTTTTTCTGCAGGTCTTTCAGAATGTGTGTTCTCATAAGATTTGTTTCTTGCAGAGGAGAAAAGTATATGGGTATGTGGCAGGACCACCAGCGGCAGGGCACCGGGGTCGTCGTCACTCAGTTTGGTCTTTACTACGAAGGAGCCTTTAAAGACAATAAGATGATGGTGAGAACTTGGGTAGTAAAAAAATGGGAACTAAATGGGAATAAACTCAGTGAATGAATATGAGAATAAAGATTTAAAACTGATCACATCCAGACAGGAATCATGGAACTTGTCGTGTTTAGGACTTGAGAAATCGTTTAAAACTATAGAAACGAAGCAGTGTGAACACTGAGCGCTAAATGACTGCTGAAATATGCTGAATTATGATGAAGCTGAACAGAACATTAGCTAATCACAAAAGTAAGTCCAAAGTAGTAAAACACTAGCCAAAAGTAACAAAAGGCTAGATAAAATGTCAAAGGCTAGAAGAAGAAATGTGATTAAAAACATTTAGTTGACCGCAAGAATGATAAGGCTGCACAGAAGACAGTTGGAGTCAGCCTCCCCACCATCACAGACATCTACACCTCCAGATGCAGGAATAGGGCCACCTGCATCATGAAGGACTCCACTCACCCAGCACACACTCTTTTTGCCCCGCTCCCCTCAGGAAGGAGGTTGAGGAGCATTAAGTGTAGAACCACTAGACTGAGGAACAGCTTCTACCCTGAGGCTGTTAGACTCATGAATCTCTAACCAGAATAATCACTGTGAAAAAATCACATCATGTTGCTGCTGATCTGTTTCAATGTTGCTGCTGATCTGTTTCAATGTTGACGTGTTCATGCGTGCACATCTGCTCACACAGACTCGTGTTCATGTTTGTGCTGATATTCGACGTAATGTTTATATGCTATTAGTGTTTAGTGTACATTTAGTTTGTTTTTCTTAGTTCATATCAGATGTTATCTTTGTTTTTCATTTACATTTTATTGTTGGATGTAACTGGGGCCCTGTGTACATAATTTTGCTCCACCACATGTACCACATGAGGTGCGAATGACAATAAAGAATCTCTGACTCTGATAAAATGCAAACTAAAAACAAAAAAATATAAGGCCAGGTAAAAATATGAAAATGCTAGCTAAAAGTTTTCGAGGGCTAGGGGAGTGCCTCAGAGCTGAATACTTAGCCCTCTTGTGTTTGCATTAAGCTAACTATAAAGCTAGCTTGAAGTTTAATGTAGTGAAAGGCTAGCAACAAAAGCAGAGTGGTAGCTAAAACAAAGTATAAAGTGATCGAGTATTTATAAGAAACAATGATTTTGAAGGAACTGTATTTCTGTGATTAAAGTATTTTCAAAAGTAAATATGTTGAAAATATAAAAGTTACAAAAACTAAAAGTTATAGCGCCTATTTCCTGAATGAGCTGAATGTTTCGACATGATAACATAGAAGAATTGCACAGTATGTAGTGTCTGCAAAAACACATGGATTAAATTAAAAAAATGGAAAACGATCATGTAAATACTGAAACGACAAACTCACTATTATAAGGCCTAACTTTTTTTTTAGGAATACATGAAGTTCACCATTAGTTGATAAACATCAAAGTGAGCAGCATGAAAAAATACATAATTAGAAACAAATCTTCATGTTTTTTCCATGTATTTAAGTCCAAAACAAGCTTTCTAGGAGCTTTGTTAAAGAGATGAAGTTGGATTTGAAAGTTTGCTGTTTTTTAGGGGACGGGAGTCCTTCTGTCAGAGGACGATACGACCTACGAGGGGGATTTCTCCGACGATTGGACCCTCAGTGGAAAGGTAACTGGTTTCTGCCGCATGAAAGCGTCTTGGACGTCACGTTTGTTGAATAAAGTCACTGATTGTCTCCCCCAGGGTGTTCTGACCATGGCGAATGGAGACTATCTGGAGGGCTCGTTCAGCGGCGAGTGGGGGTCCGGTCTGAAAGTGACCGGTTCCTACTTCAAACCCCACCTGTTTGACTTTGACAAGGACAAGAACCGGGCCGTGTAAGTTCGCCAAGTGTCTCATTTCCACAGTTACATCTGTACTAGCTTGTTAAAGTTTGTTTTGTTTTCTCTTCTGTGACAGGAAGTTGGGCCGTCTGTGTGTGTCCGCAGAGGACAAGTGGCAGGCTGTGTTCGAGGAGTGTTGGACCCAGATGGGCTGCGAGGCGCCGGGCCAAGGGGAGAACCAGAAAGCCTGGGAGAGCATTACGGTGGCGCTCACCACCAACCGTCAGCACGTGCAGGACAGGTCCGATCAGATATTTACAGCCTGCACCACATTTGAGTCCATCTCTAGAATAAAGGTTTTGACTGTTTGTGTGCGTTTCAGTCCAGAGACGTTGTCTCGGAGTCACAGCAAAACTCTGGAGAGTCTAGAGGTCGTCCCGCAACACGACGGACCCATCACCGTGGAGAGATATCACACCATCCGCCTCTACCTCCTCCAGGTGAGGAGGCACAAATCTCAGATTCAGTGCGACTGCTCTGTGGTCAACACGTCTCACATGGACCATCGTTAAAGGTCCCAACGGGCTTCACGCAGGCTCTGATCGGGTCAGAGAGAACCATGAAGAGGGAAAACTCGCAAAGACCAGACGTTTGGGACTTTTTCAGTCACATCGTCTTAGAAAGCAAATCAGTTGTTGATATATAACGGTTACTTTCCAAAAGTTTTGTTTAAAATCTGTTCATTAGCTGTTTTGCTAACACAAACTAACAAAGATGCAAAGAAAAACAAAGTCACCTGCCTGAAGCCAACCCAAACCAACACTAACTATAGGATTTGTCAAATAGGAAAGTCTTAATCCCAGTCTTCAAACTGGACAATGTGTCAGCCTCATGGACAGAAACTGGAAGTTGGTTCCACAAGAGAGGAGCCTGATAATTGAAAGATCTTCCTCCCATTCTGCTTTTAGAAACTCTAGGAACCACAAGTAAACCTGCAGTCTGAGAGCAAAGTGCTCTGTTAGGAAAATATGGAACAATAAGATCTCGTATAAAAGATGGAGCTAGGATGTTGAGGGCTTTGTATATTATTATTATTGTAATATTATTGTTGTTATTGTAGGTTTGTGTGTTTAAAGAGAATATTGCTATGCACAAGAAAAAAGACAGTTTAATTTCAAGGTCAAGGTGTCTTTGTCATTCACATCACATGTGGTGCATGAGGTGGAACAAAACTATGTACAGGGTCCAGTTACATCCAACAAAGATACAAATTATAAAAAAAACTAATAAGATCCAAGATATGAGCTAAGAATATACTAAGCACTAATAGTACAAAACAATGCGCCAAACAACAGCAGCACGAACATGAGTCTTTGTGAGTAGATGAGGATGAATGAACACAGCAACATGAAATAAATCAGCAGCATGAGATCAGCATCATGGATGGTCAGCAGCACATATTAACAACGAAGTGGCATTAAAGTGATTTTTTTTTTCACAGGGATTATCCTGGCTAGGGATTCATGAGTCTAACAGCCTCAGAGTAGAAGCTGTTCCTCAGCCAAGTGGTTCTGCTCTTAATGCTCCTCAACCTTCTGCCTGAGGGGAGTGGGGCAAAAAGTGTGTGTGCTGGGTGAGTGGGGTACTTCATGATGCAGGTGGCCCTCTTCCTGCATCTGGAGGTGTAGATGTCTGTGAAGGTGGGGAGGCTGATTCCGACAGTCTTCTGTGCAGCCTTCACCACTCTCTGTAAAGCTTTTCTCTCTGCAGCTGTGCAGCCTCCATGCCACATGTTGATGCTGGAGCACAGGATGCTCTCCACTGCACACCTGTAGAAGGAGGTGAGGACTGAGCTTCCCAGACCAGCTCGTCTCAGCCGTCTGAGGAAGTAGAGTCTCTGATGAGCTTTCTTGATCAGGCTGGTGGTGTTGTTGTCATTCATGTGTACACCCAAGTACTGACTGTGGTCTGTTTGTTAAGAAGTCTAGGACCCAGTTGCAAATGGAGGGGCTTAGTCCTAGTGTGAATAGTTTGTCCATCAGGGTTTGGGGGATCATGGTGTTGAAGGCGGATGTGAAGTCCACAAAGAGCATATGGACGTAGGAGTCCTTCTGCTCCAGGTGGGTGAGAGCAGTGTGGACCACAGAGGAGATGGCATCCTCTGTTGATCGGTTCTTGCGGTATGCATACTGATGAGGGTCCTCGTTGATATTGATGTTAGCGTTGATGTGGGTTATGACCAGTTTTTCGAAGCATTTAGCGACTATCGGGGTGAGGGCCACTGGCCGATGGTCATTCAGGCCAGTCACTGTACAGCTCTTGGGAACTGGAATAATGGTGGTGGTCTTCAGGCAGGTGGGAACTGTCACCAGGGTGAAGGAAGTTTTAAAGATGTCTTCCATCACCTCGCAGAGTTGATCAGCACAGTCTTTCAGCACCTTCCCTGGATGTTGTCTGGGCCAGTTACCTTGTGTGGATTAATCCTCCTGAAAGTACTTCTTACTTCTGCTGAGGTCACGCTGAGGAACTCTTCTTCCTGTGATGAGTCTGGTGCTAGGTGGTCTGTTCGGGTCCTCAAAGTATGCATAGAACCTGTTTAGAGCATCAGACAGAGATGGATCCCTAGTAGGGCATTGAACACCTCTGCCTTTATAATCCGTTATGCACTTAATGCCCCTCCACATGTTCTGGGTGTTTTGTGAGGAGAAGTGTCCCTGGATCTTCTGCATATGCTGCTTTGGCTCTTTTCATACCAGCATCCAGCTCTTTCCTTGTCCTTCTCAGCTCCTGAGAGTTGCCAGACCTGAAGGCAGACTCCCTGGTTCAGATTTCATCCATCAATTTTCTTTTTGTTCTTGTTTTTTTATTTATTTTGTTTTTATACTATTGTAAATTATGAAAGAATAGAAAATAAAGCAAACACGAAGTTAATTTCAGAAGCAGCAATTGTTTTGCACAGATTGGCGTGAAAAAGCACAATTTAACAGATTCTTGTGTTTATCTGCTTAAAATTATCAGATTTCGAACAATGTGAAACTATTAAAGAAGAGAAATATCTGGATTTGTCTTGTTTGTGTTTGTCCAAAGGAACAAGCTAAAATTCAATAATTGTCTTTTTTTTTTATCGCTTCCAAGACTCGTTTTTTTTTTTTTTTTTTGGGATGTTTATTTTACAAAAATTTACTTAAGTTGAAAAGAAACTCATCAAAATTATCCTAAAATTTTAATATTTAAATTGTTAGTAATAAAAAACAGATTTAGTCTTTAGAGGTACCTGAACGTTTAGCTGAGGGGGAAAAAAGACAGATCAGTAATTCTGGTGTAAACGGACGAGTCACGCTCCAGATTTATCGGTTCAGGTTGGACTGAAACACTCTCCCCCTTCACCTTTAGGCGTGTGACACCCCCCTCCACCCACTGGGCCGGCTGGTGGAGACCCTGGTGGCGGTGTACAGGATGACGTACGTCGGCGTCGGAGCGAACCGTCGGCTGCTGCAGCAGGCGGTCAAGGAGATAAAGTCCTACCTGAACCGAATCTTCCGGATCGTCAGGTTTGTGCAGCAGCTTCAATTTCAGAGTCGAACCAGTTTCAAGCTGCACCAGTACAAAACTGGCCACGTTTGCTTTAAAATTCCTGCAGGTTTCTGTTCCCAGACCTGCCAGAAGAGGGCGGTCTAATCCCAGAGGCTACGGAGAGCACACTGCAGCCCGGCTCCGACGCCCCCGTGGAGCCACCCAGACCCGGGTACAGAGCTAGCAGCAGCTGCAGCGCTCCCAGCTGGAGCAGATCACATGACCTCCTCCCTGTTTGTGTTTCAGCCGCGTGGTGAGCAGCTTCGCCCTGCTGCTCCCCGTCCTGCTGCCTCGCCTCTACCCGCCGCTCTTCACCCTCTACGCCCTGGAGAAGGAGAAGGAGGACGACGTGTACTGGGAGTGCGTCCTCCGCCTCAACAAGCAGCCCGACCTCGCCCTGCTCGCCTTCCTGGGCGTCCAGCAGTACGTCCAGCCCCGTGGACCGAGGCTGCAGGAGTCGAACCCGTCCACCTTTCTGACCTTTGTTTCTTTTGCAGGAAGTTCTGGCCCGTTTCACTCCCAGCCTCTTTGACTGTTTTTGAGAAAAAGCAGCAGGTATCGTTTTATTACTTGGCCTTTTGAAGCTGCAGCTGAATATATGAAGAACCTCCTTTAAAAAAGATTTTCCTGATGTTCTGCAGGTCATCCCGAGCACCAAAGACGCCTGTTTCGCTTCCGCGGTGGAAACTCTGCAGCAGATCAGGTCCAGCTCACGTCAGAACAAACCAGACGTTGATGCAGCATGTCTCCAAGGACTTTCAGCTGAAACAGCTGTTCAGACGAAAAGATGCAGAACACTAGCTAAAAACTAAAATGTGCAGATTAATGGCTAAAAGCGAAAATATGCAGATTAATAGCCAAAAGCTAAAATGTGCAGATTAAGAACTAAAAGATAAAATATGCAGATTTATAGCTAAAAGTGAAAATATGTAAATTAAATGCTAAAATATGCAGATTAATAGCTTAAAGCTTAAGTATGTGGATTAATATTGAAAAGCTAAAATATACAGATTAAAAACTAAAACATGCAGAGTAATGGCTAAAACATGCAGAGTAATAGCTAAAAGCTAAAATATGCAGATTAATAGTTAAAAGCTAAAATATGCAGATTAATAGCTAAAGGTTAAAAGATACAGAGCACTAGCTAGAAGCTAAAAAAACACACTAATGGCAAAGAAAATACTAGCTAAAAAAAGAACATGCTGCCTAAAATCCACAAGTTACAAAATACTATCTAATGTAGCAAATTGATAGCTAAAAGTAGCAAAAATGTTTGCTAAATTCCAAAAGTAGCTAAACTAAAGGGAGCAAAATGTTTGCTAAATCTACAAAAAGCTAGTTTAATCTAGCCAAAAGTGGGCTAAAACCTATTTTAAACAGGCATCCAGAGGATAAAAGTGCCAAAAAGCTAGTTTAAAGCTGCAAAGGGGTATCTAAATGGATCTAAAAATTAGAGACTAGACGTTGCTAAAGGTGAACTAGAATCAAAATGTTGTAATACCTTAACTAAGCTTAAACTCCAAATAGCTATAATCTAGCCAAAAGTAGAAAATTTATAGCGAAAAGTCTAAATAAATTGTTAGCTGAATGCTAAAAGCTTCAAGAAGCCAGCTAAATAAAGTAAAAGGCTAGCTAAAAGCTAACTTATTGCTACTTATAGCTTCTGGTTTTCTAAAAGTAACTAAAAGTCTAATAAAAAAAAAAGGAGCAGGTTTGCTGAAGCAGATTCTTAGTTTTTTTTTTTTTGTTTTGTTTTTTTTGAAAGACCTGAAAAGATCTGAATGTATTTCAATGAGTAGAATATTTGTAAATAAAGTTGAATATTGTGAGAAGTATAAAAGTTACAAAACGTAAAAGTCACAGCAACCATGTCCTGGAAGAGCTGAACGTTTAGATCTGTGACTGTCTAAAATATCACAAAGTATTCAGAAGTAAAAGTAATACTCTGGCCCAGAGTTCACACAATCAAGTAATCCTAATCCTGATCAATCTGGCACTGACCGGTGTTTGTTTTGTCCTGCAGCACAACGTTCACCCCGTGCGACAAGCTGCAGGTGATCCAGCTCACCTTCGAGGAGATCACGCAGGAGGTGCAGTCGCTGCTGCAGCAGGACTTCCTGTGGTCCATGGACGACCTGTTTCCCGTCTTCCTCTACGTGGTGCTGCGCGCTCGGTCAGCCGCTCACACAAACATTTACACACAAACCGCCAGGATGACGGCGAGATGACAGAACAAAAGACATCAGAGGGTGCAGGATGATGCTGCTGCGGTTTAAAACTTAAACCGATGCAGGAAATCCAAACATGCAGCTAAAAAAGTAGAGAAATTGTATGTCCTGTGAAAATGCAGTGTGAATGCTTATTGCAGAAGAACTTGCTGAAAAACGGCTGAAATTAGCTACACATGCTGAAAAGGAAGAACAAGCCTAAGTTAACAAAAGAAAGCAGAAAAAACATATTTGCTTAATTAGGTTTAAATAAGCAGGAATGAGCACAAAAATTAAGAAATTAGCTAAAAAAACTGAAATTAGCTAAACAAAAAATAGCTGAAAAAGTAGAAAGAAGCTTAAACTACCAAAAGGAAGTGAAAGAAGCAGAAATGAGTAAAAAAAGTGGAATTGGCTGAAAAAGCTAAATTTAGTACAAAACGGCCAAGTACTAGCTGAAATAGCAGAAAAAGCTGAAACTGGCAGAAAAAAGCTGAAAGGAGCAAAACAAGCTGAAATTAGCAGAAAGTTAATTTGGCTGAAAGCAGAAATTACTACAAAATACTTGAATTTATCTGAAAACAGCTGAAGTTAGCTAAAAATGCTTTAAAATAACTGAACAGGTAGAGCAAGCTTAAATGTGTAGAAGAAAGTAGAAAAAACTTGTTTGCTGAACGAAGCAGAAAGGAGCATAATAAGTGGAAAATTATCTGAAATAGCTGAAATTATCAACAACAACAAAAAAACTGCTAAAATAGTAGCAAGAAGCTTAAATTACCCGTAGGAAGTGGAGAGAGCACATTTTTGCTGAACTAGACCAAAAAAAAGTTTAAGGTGGGTGAAAAAATTGTGGAATTGCTTGAAAAGAT